GTCAAAGACATCAGGAAGCTCATCAGATTGGCAGCAAGTGAAAAATGTGATCCAGTCTATGGCAATTTGATGGATGGGGAAAATAAAGAATTAAGAGATAGAAAAAGAGCAAACAACCGAACAGGAGCAATGAAGACCAATTTCAGCATACAAACAGGTGCAGCAAAGGGAAACAGTGATGGCTTAAATGTTACTTTTGTGACAGAAACCATAGACTGGAGTCATGTGACGCTTTCAAGTTGGAAGATGGTGAGAAACAATTTAAATTTATTAGACAAAGGAAACTTTGCGACAATTGTTTATCTAGCTTTCATTTTTCTGCTGGTTGCAAAAGACGAAAGGGATGCACAGTGCTGAATTGTGACATCAAACGGAAACATCTTGCTTCGATACATAATGAAGTTAAAAAATTTGAGATAAGTCGATGTAGTGCACAAGCTATCTCAGATCAACATGGGGAATCAAAAAGGCAAAATCAATTCAGTGGCCTGACAAGTAACAATGGTGGTTGCAGCTCTGGTCAAGGACTGCCAATTGTGCCGCTCAAGGTTAAGTGTCGAGGCATGAACAAAATAGTCACGACGTACGCTCTGTTAGACAGTGGATCTACCGCTTCATTTTGCAGTGATGATCTCTTGAAAGAATTAGGTATAGAGGGTAAAACGTGCCAAATTCAACTGGCAACTATTGACGGCGTACATGATGAATGTCAAACTGCTATGATGACCCTAGAAGTTGCGAACTTTGAAGAGGATATCTGTATTCAGATTGACAATGTTTTCTCAACAAAGAGTCTGAATATACCAAGAACAGCGATTGCTAAGCAAAAGGATGTAGATTTGTGGCCACACCTCAATGGAGTCATAATGCCAGAAGTAATAGCTGATGCAAATGTCAACCTTTTAATTGGAGTAGACACTCCTGAGGCTTTGGAACCTAGCGCAATTAGAAACAGTGAAGGTGGTGGACCCTTTGCCGTGAAGACTAAATTCGGTTGGACCTTGAACGGACCACTTGGCAGAGATAATGCTACAGGTAAACGTTGCTTTTTCTCTAAATCGAATGCTTGTGATGAACAACTTCAACAGCAACGTCTGACACGTGACCCAGCATTACGAGTGCGTTATACAAATTTCATTGATGACCTTCTTGTCAAAGGACATGCAAGAAAGATTCCTGATGCCAAGAAAGGATGCAGACAAGATATCACATGGTATCTCCCACATCACAATGTAGTGAATCCAAAGAAACCTGAGAAAACCAGAGTTGTCTTCGATTGTGCGGCGAAGTTTCACGGTGTATCGCTTAACAGCAATATATTACAAGGTCCAAATCTGACAAATTCTTTGGTAGGGGTTCTTTGCAGATTCAGACAAGAGCGAATTGCGCTAGTTGCTGATGTGGAATCTATGTACCACCAGGTATGTGTAGATCCTAAGGATACTGAGGCCTTGAGGTTCTTATGGTTTCCGGGTGGAGATTTATCAAAAGAGCCTGAGGAATACCAAATGGTGGTGCATCTATTTGGTGGAATCTGGTCAGCCTGTTGTGCAAACTTTGCTTTGAAAAGAACTGCTTTGGACAATACCAGCAAGTTTGACCCGATGGTAACCAAAACAGTTGACAAGAACTTCTACGTTGACGATATGCTTAAATCAGTGAGAAGCACAGATGAAGCCATTTGGATGCAAAGACAGCTGACGGAATTGCTATCATGTGGCGGCTTTCACCTTACAAAGTGGAGCAGTTCATGTAGAAAGGTACTAGATTCTATTCCTCAAAATGAAAGATCAAAAGATTTAAAGCATCTAAACATTCAATATGACGCCCTTCCTGTAGAGAGAACATCGGGTTTAGAGTGGAACATCGAAAGTGACACATTCAGGTTCAAGATTAACAGTAAAGAAAGGCCAGCCACACGAAGAGGTATATTGAGCATTATTTCATCAATATTTGATCCACTTGGATTTGTAGCACCCTTTGTTTTGCCTGCAAAAAGACTTCTTCAAGCATCATGCAAAGATCTAGAATGGGATAAAGAGATTTCTGGTGAAAATCTGATAAATTGGAATCAATGGTTGGTTCAGATGCCGATGCTAGAGAATTTCCAAATGAGAAGATGCATTAAAGTACCTGAATTTGGGACTTGTATCACTCAAGAGATTCATCACTTTTCGGATGCTTCTGAGACTGGTTATGGCACGGTGTCATACTTGAGAACAGTGCATCAAAATGGTAAAATCAAAACTGCGTTCTTGTTTGCAAAATCTCGACTAGCACCATTGAAACGAATCACAATTCCGAGGTTAGAGCTCACTGCCGCTGCCTTGGCTGTAAAGATCGACACGATGTTGAAAAACGAGCTAGAAATCTGCATACATAAATCAATGTTCTGGACAGACAGTACATCTGTTTTGAGGTACATCAACAACAAAGACAAGAGATTTCATACGTTTGTTGCGAACCGAATAACAGTTATTCATGAAGGATCAGATCCTGAGCAATGGAGGTATGTGCCAACGAAAAGCAACCCCGCAGATGATGCGTCACGTGGAATGACAGCAAACGAGCTGCTTCGAAGTGAACGTTGGATCAGTGGACCGGAGTTTTTGCTACAGACAAGAGACAAATGGCCAAAATGTAATGTCAGCATTGCGGGGATCCCTGAAGATGACGTCGAAGTTAAAAGATTGGCTCAGTCAAACTCAGTCAATGTCAAGGTAAATGATATGACATCAATGATTTTCTCACACTTTTCAAACTGGTTTCGCTTGAAAAGGGCTGTTGCTTGGATCCTTCGATACAAATCTTGGCTACTGGAAAAGGTTAAACGAAGCCAGATGCTCTTAAAATCTAAAATATCTAGACGTATTGATGTTGAAGAAATAAAAGAAGCGGAAGATGCTATAATCAAGTGCGTGCAAAAGGAATGCTTTGTTCAAGAATTACAATGTTTGCAATCATCTGAAGGCGTAGTAAAGAAATCAAGTTCCTTGAGCAGGTTAGATCCTGTAATCAAAAATGGGCTTATCTGTGTCGGTGGACGTCTCAAGCACGCACCCTATGAGTATGAACATATGAAGCACCCAGCCATACTTCCAAAAAGACATCATGTGAGCAATTTGGTCATTCAGCATTTTCATGAATTATCCGGACACAGTGGACAAGAATATGTTCTTTCCATCATCAGAGAATACTTTTGGATAATCCAAGCACGAGTGCCTGTGAAAAAAGTCTGCAGAAGCTGCTTTTCTTGCAAAAGAAGATCTCAAGCTCCATGTAAGCAGAAAATGGCCGACCTTCCAGTGAACAGAGTCACACCAGATAAACCTCCATTCACATTTATTGGCGTCGACTATTTCGGACCATTCCTGGTGAAAAGAGGTCGTGCAACTGAGAAAAGGTACGGTGTTATTTTTACTTGCCTTACCGTGCGAGCTGTACATATTGAGATTGCCAACAATCTTGACACTGATTCATTCATCAATGCACTGAGAAGGTTTATAGCTAGACGAGGAGTGCCAAAAGAAATAAGGTCAGACAATGGAACCAACTTCAAAGGTGGAGAAAAGGAGCTACGGTTAGCGTTACAGGAATGGAATCAAGACAAGTTACAAAAATTTTTGCTACAAAGAGATATCGTTTGGATATTCAATCTTCCATATGCATCACATATGGGTGGAGTTTGGGAAAGAATAATCCGATCCATTAGAAAGATTTTCAAAGCATTGGTAAAAATGCAAATTCTGAGTGACGAATGTCTGCAAACCCTAATGTGCGAAGTAGAAGCAATCCTAAACGCAAGACCGTTGACAAAAGTTTCAGACGATCCATCTGACCTGAGTGTCCTAACGCCGAATCATCTTCTCCTTTTCAAAACCAGTTCAAATCTTCCACCAGGTGTGTTCAGTAAACAGGACCAATATTGTCGTCGAAGATGGAAACAGATCCAGTATTTGACTAATGTGTTTTGGCGAAGATGGTTGAAAGAATATTTACCAATTTTACAAACAAGACAGAAGTGGCAAGGTATTAAACAAAATATTTCCAAGGGTGACATAGTGCTAGTTGTAGAAGAAACCACACCTCGAAACCTTTGGCCACTTGGAGTGATCTTAGACGTTAATGTTGGAAGAGATGGTTTGGTTCGTTCAGCACTGGTCAAAACGAAGAACACAGAGTTGCTAAGACCAGTAAACAAATTATGCTTGCTTGAAGCCCAAGAGCAGAAATGAAGAAAAAATTCGCACTAGGAACTAAAGAAAAAACAGATACTAGGAGTAGCCTGTTTGGGGGTGGGTATGTTAGTGCGAATAGCCCTTGGTCGTTTTAGTTTAAGCTATTTTTATCTAGCCTCGTTTTTTACATTGCATTGTTTTCTTTACGCCTCTTAGTATACGTTTCATTAGCCCATATTTGGTATTTCCGTTTTTGCGTGTTCTTGCTTTTCCTCGTTTACTTCCGGTAGCTATAAAGGATTTGCACCCCACGTTTTGGGTGGTTATTTACTCGCCTTGCATTGCGCTGTGTTGGGGGCAGTTTTTTTATCGTTTCTACATGCTGTGTTTGGCCGTCGTGCAAAATTTTTATGGCTACGAGGACTAATAGATTGTAAGTTGTATGTATTATTATGTAGTTATCTTTCACTTTATTTATAAGTAGCTCATACTTAACATTTTGTAGTCTAGTTTGGTTTCTACGTAGTTCTATCTTCTGCTAACATTAATTAACCTTTTATAATTATTCCTTTTTTTTCATTATATTGTAATATTAAGCTTCTTGTCGTATTCTCAACTTATAATCTTCATGTATGTTAATTGCTAACATTTTTCTTTAGCGAACCAGCAATTTTGCGATATGACAGCCCCTTGTCTTTTCGCAGACAGTTTCCATAAGCTCTTCCCTTTGGTTAATCATCGTATGGAAGACCATTTTTCTAATATCGCTGTGATTTCTTGTAGACTCTAAACTGGCGCCAATTTGCGTCATAAAAATGCTGTAATCTGTTGTGTTAAGGGAAATCGATCATCACAAAAAAAAGGTGCCATGAAAACAATTCACGCTTTCAACGCATTCATATCTACCAAATTCCTCTACACAACTACTACAATAACACTACATTTTGTAACTGAGTAATGAAATAGAACGGAATGAAACTATTGACAACATCTACTACTGTTAAAAACAACGACTAAAGTCCCCCCTACCCCCTTACTGAAGAAAGAAATTAAAAAATCGCGATTTTTTTAACAGATCTGAAATCAGCACCATCGAAAACCCTATGTTACCCCATGTTTATTTTACTGAACCTTTTGATATTCCAGATAGTTTGCAGACAATCACTGCCAAAACTCTTGGAACACTTGTGATATTTTCAACGTTTTCATGCATCCCTTCCCTTCCCCCCCCCCCCCCCCCCCCTCAAACAATGTTGTCTCACAGCTAAGTTAAGACATACTTTTGTGGGAAACCTTTTTTTACCGATCGCTGCGATAAACTGCATTGTAAGCAACATTGTTATAGGGGCGGAGGGGGGTTTGTCTATTAGAAACATGGGAAATATACGAAAAAAGCAAGAAATTAGCAAAATATGTAGGTGTTCCAAGCAGTTTTGGCAGAGATTGTACTCACGAAACAGGCTTGTAGAGATAAACCATGTAGTCACATTTTCTTCAACTCTATGATATAACACGCTCTATGTGCTAACGTATTGAGCACTGTACTATGGAAGTATCAAAAGACAAATTTCTACATACATACAGACACACACACAAACATACACACACACACACCTACATACGTACATACCTACATACATATCTACATACATACGTACATACATACACTGCTCCAAATCATTGACGTTCAGGACAAAGAGGAGCAGCCCAAAGCACGATCCCTGAGGCATACCGCAGTGAACAGTTTTTAAGCTAGATCTATGGCCATTTATTTGACAGTCTGTCTGTCTTCGGCTTGTTAAATACGATGTGAACCATCGAAGAAATGTCCCTTCCACTTCGTATTTCTTTAGTTTAGATAGAAGACTACATATAAGAAAACCTCAAAAGTAGAAGATTTGACCAGTTTGAAGAAAAAGGGATTGAAAATATATGTTCGAATTAAACCTAAAAAAGTAAATTATGCCATCGTCACTGCATATAATCCACCTCATGCTAATAACGAAAATTTCAAAAATACAATAATTAGACTAGTTGATAAAATCTCTTCGCATTATGACATTTTATCATCATTGGTTATCGTAAGTTAACCCCAACTAATTCACACCTCAAAGCAATATGATCTTCCTTTGGACTTACTAACCTTGTAAAAGAACCAACCTGCTACAAACCAAACTGGAACCCATCATCAATAAGCCGTTTTCACATTCATATTTGAAAACGAGACAGGAAATCGAAAACGAAGCTAACGCTGTAAGGATTTTCTAGTGGCCTGTGATCACAGTGGAGAAGCCGTACTCGTTGTTTGGTATCGTTGTAGCTTTACTTTATTTATTGAGAAATGGATCAGTTTAAGTCTTTGTTGCCGGAAGACAAGGCCGTACATTGTCTAGATGACCTTCGAGATCTCACTGTCAAGGAATTGAAAGCGATTTTGGCGGCATACAAGGAAAGAATGTCTGGGTCGAAGGCTGACCTTATCCTGCGGGCCTACGCAATTTTCTCTCGCTTGAAACAGCAAGTTGAGCCTGAAATTTCTTCACTGCAGCTACTTCAGACAACTGATGAAATAGCCTGTACATATGAAGATGTATTTAAGTTGAAGTGCAGCCATTTGCCTTGGACTTCAGATTTAGGAGGGACTCCAGCGTTCAGTTTCATTCAGCTGTACGATTATCTTGTTCTTCGCACCACCAAATTTAAACATATAAAGTTAAAGAGTACGGGGTACAAAAAGCTCAAATCTTTCCAGTTCTTTTATGAAGGATATATTAAGAGAATTGATGTGGCAAAGGATTCAAATTTTACTTTCTTTGATGTGCGTATGAAGGCATCAATGAAGTCCACTTTATACAAAGTGCTGGTGGTTCTTGATGGTTCTGGCAATGTTTCCTGTGCTGCCTGTACATGCCCTGCTGGTGCTGGTATATCTGGCCTTGGCAATTGTAATCATGTTGGAGGAGTTCTTTTTGCTTTGGAAGATTTCAACAGGAAAGGCTACAGAAATTGTCCTGAACCTGTCTCTTGTACTTCCAAATTAGCAGCCTGGAATGTCCCATCTTCTTTTGCTTCAGTTTCTCCTGCATCTATTGATGAAGTTCTTATCAAGAAGATCAGATTTGGCAAAGATGATGTTCAGTTAAAAGCCATAAAGAATATTTGCCATGATCCTCGTCAAATTGCACATCGTGGAATAGATGAAGAAAGGGTTGAAAAGCTCAAACACTCTCTTGCTTCTTCCATTCCAAACAGTTGTTTCTTTGCTTTCCATTCTTTTCCTGATACATCTTCAGCAAGCAGTTCTTCTATTGTCACAGAAATGGTTGATTCATTGGATTCTCCTTTTCAAGATTCTTTTGTTAATTTATCTGTTTCTGACACTGACAACAATTCAATGGCATTCAGTGATGATTATGATATATCCTGTTCCAATTTTAAAGATATGATGGACTACCATACCAAAAATAACATGTATCTTCCATCAACAGCTATTCTTGACATTGAAAAAGAAACCCGTGGTCAGTCATCAAATTCTTCTTGGAAACAACACAGATTATATCGCATCACTGCATCAAATTTTTACTCTGCTGCTGTCACTACTGTTGAACCATCGTCTAAGTTAAATTCAATGTTCTACTCATCTTTCTCTTCTGTAAGCATACGGCATGGAAAGGCTTACGAGTCCCATGTTCGTTCTTTATATTTGGAGACTTTGCTACGCAATGGCTTCAATAAAGTTTTTGTTGACGAGCCTGGCCTTATTGTATCAAGTACTCATTCTTTTCTTGGTGCATCCCTGGATGGTATCGTAAAGCATGGTCAAGACTCTTGGGGACTTGAAATCAAATGTCCTTATTCAAAATTTTCATCTTCTCTCCATGATGCTGTTGCAGATAAGAAGTTTTTTTTAAGAAAGACAGATGTGGTAGAGCTCAAAAAGAATCATGCCTATTACTACCAAATTCAAGGTCAAATGTTTTGCTCTGGATTAAGAAAAGTTGATCTGGTGGTCTGGTTTCGAGATAACCAACCCTTGTTCATTCAATCAATTATGTACGATGAACATTTTGTTCAAAACTCCATTCTTCCTCAGCTGAACTTCTTCTATCGCAGAGCTGTATTACCAGAATTCTTTACAAAGCGTGTAAAAAGAGGTCTTAAATTATACCTTCATGGTGGCTGGGAGAAGTTTTCTTTAGAATTATAAATTGTTTAAATTTTGTGAATCTTAAATAATAAATGACTTGGTATAGAGTGTTTAGTATCTACAGTAGAAATACCACTGTTATAATCATTAGTATTGTCATTTGGCAAATTCCACTATGTCTATAAATACAATTTTTGAAATTCCAATACCATTAATAGATATCTACAATATAATGGATAAGCAAACACACAAACAAACTCAAAATTAAGGATAACCCCACAAATTGAATTATGTCACAAATTAAACATAACAGATTATGTTTCAAGAGGAAGTAAACCATAAGCTACCACATTATTATTTTGATGTACTTTTCCTTTATCTTCTTATCTATGTATTTTGCAATATTAAATAAAATATGAAAAAGTTATCGTGTAAGCAACAGTATTACCATTAAAGAATTATTTTTTACAGTCTTTCGTGTAATACAAATATGAAAGAGTTATCGTGTAAGCAACAGTGTTACCATTAAAGAATTATTTTTTACAATCTTTTGTGTAATAAAAATATGAAGGAGTTATCGTGTAAGCAACAGTGTTACCATTAAAGAATTATTTTTTTACAATCTTTTGTGTAATAAAAATATGAAGGAGTTATCGTGTAAGCAACAGTGTTACCACTAAAGAATTATTTTTTACAATCTTTTTTGTAATACAAATATGAAAGAGTTATCGTGTAAGCAACAGTATTACCATTAAAGAATTATTTTTTACAGTCTTGTGTAATACAAATACACTAGGGTATCAAAAGTATTGCACCACCCTGCTCAAAATGGCGGCACTTTTTATCGACTTTTTGACAATGCAAAACATTTGAATGCATTAATTGGGTGAAATAAGTGCATTTTAGAGCA